ATAGCAGTGGTGTCCAAAGTCAGTTTCACGAGGGCCGGTGTCCTGCATATTTTAGGTGCTGCCCTGGTTCAACACAGCTGAACCTAAGGAGTGCCTAATTAGTAGGCCTCTGCAGACTGACATACTGAGGAGGCCTACAAATTAAGCACTACTTAGGTTCAGCTAGACCTCAASGACTGATTTTGGACACCACTGCGTTATAGTGTGACAGGGCCTTAAATAGCATCATTTGTTCACAGAGCAAGTGCTTTATAGATTGATTAATATTAATTTTTAAGGATTACATAAACACCTGCAAAAAACACTATTATAATAACCCAACCTAATAAAATGAAAGGCATGCACCTGCTTTTCTGGGTCCTGTTTAGACAAGAATCAGTTCATTCTTGCAATGTTATTAAGACATTAGATTGGTTTACAATTTATAAACCCTTCAAAATTAGTCATGATATGAAGGCATTTGGGTTTTATAGTGAAAAGTAAAAAAAACTGTCAAATTAAGGGAAGTTAAGCCTTTAGTTTGCACTCTTCAGGCCATATAAGGAAGTAAGGCTCAGCTGTGTAAAAGGAGCAGACATGCCACAACAACTCACAACTATGTGTACAAAAACTAACTTCAACTTGGCAGCTTGACTAAGGATAATCTCACCGTCTCCTCTGGCAGGTCCTTTAAACTGAGTTTTGACGGGGAGCAAGGCCATATTKCCCACCAGCCTTGTATCGGGGACCATCAAGTTTGAGTGATAAGCCTAAAAAAAAAAAAGTTAATTTCTGTCATTTATGTTAGCTAGCACATTTCTGTCAGCTAGCTACAACCTTAGTTAGCTTCGTAATGGAAACAGGCATTATTTACCCAGTCCTACGTGTCAACATTACTATAAAAGAAGTATTAACAGCGAATTTACTATTTCTTTTTTGTTAAATATTGCTAAACGTCTACCAGAAGCTAACCCCTAGCCAATACATGTTTCTTGTCTTCATACAGCTAACGTTAAAAGCGGAAGCCCATTCTCGTCTTAGAGGAGTTATTGAGATATTTTGCTCTGAATCATAAAACATAAATATTTTTTGCCAATCATCTTGTACCGTATACTCACCGGCATGTTGAATGAAAGCTATCAATCCAAACGCTCAGCAGGAGAAAATTTACAAGCACCCTCACAGACCGTACTTCCGCCTGTCGCACCCTGCCTGCAGATGGTACAGGAAGTAGACACGTGTCGTGTGGCATAGCAGCCGCCAGGGGGCGCTAAAACCAAACTTCTCATAAGAAGCAGACTGTGCTTTTTGTCAAGTTTTATTTTAAAAATATAACATTAGTAAACATTTTTAATAGCGATATTTTAAACACACACATTGTTCAAAAGTAATAAAATGCAGACATCTAAATACAAAAAAGTAATCAGAACAAATAATGTGACTTATGTTTGAGAAAATGAGTTGGAGCATAGGCCGCACTGCAAAATAAGTGCAAAACATTGATTTTTGCAGTAATTGAGATTTGCAAAAAACTGAGTCTACAAAGACACCAGTAACTAAAACAATATATGATCTTACAAACTGGTAAACTGAAGTTTTTTTTAAACAGGTATGTCTTCAAAAATAATTGTCCTATAAATCATTCCCTTTCAAACAGACCCCTTTTTTCTCTGCAGGCTGCACTAGCGCTGGAAAATCTGTCTTTGTGAAGATTGGGCGTTCTCATATTTACAAATTTTTAGACTGGAATTCCCATTGACACTATTCAAGATCAATAAAAATAATTTTTTTAACCAGCACTTACATTAACAAAACTAGATTGTTGATGATAATTAATAAATCTTCAATTTTCAACAAACTACATATTATATTTGAAACTTTTGAGAAAGAGCGTTTGAAACTAGTCATAAACAAATTTTGAAAAATTCCTCGGATTGCCAACACAGGTCACAAATGTCCATTCATCAGCAGCCATGCAGTGAGATGCAACTCTCCAGTAGAACGTCAGRCAAAGTCTTGCATGCACGTGTTCTCCAGCTATTACTCCTCAGCTGGTATCTTGAAATATCTCATCATAATTTAAGTTGGCTGGCTCTTCTTCAACCTCCTGTAGATAAAAAAGAAGAAATATATATATGTAAATAAATAAATGTAAATACAGAAGATATATTTTGGTTCTATAGTTCAGTATTTATATGAATATTTCTTCACCTTGGGCTCCTTGAACTCCAAGTCTTCCCCATACTGTATGGAGAAGTCGATGTGCTGTAGGACTATGTTAATACCTTCATCATCTGTGCGATCAAATGGCAGGAATCTTACCATGCTGTAATCATCTATCTGGACAGACAAAACAGAAARAATGTCAGAACACCAATTTGAATTCTGTCATTCGAAATTAAATTATAAACTCCACTGACCAAACCACAAATAGCTTTGGTAAGCTTCTTGAACTGTGCGCTTCTGAAACTCTCAGAGTTATCCTCCATCATTGAGTACATGTCTGGGTCCAAGTACCTTGCAAAAAAAATAAAGTAAAAGTACATTTTAAAACTTCCTTATTAAACACGTTTGATAAGCAAACATATTGAGTGAGCATTTCAAATTAACATTTAGTAACAGAGCTTCCTCAAATTAAATTAACATGGGTCCTAGTGCAAATATTCAGATTATATTGCAGCAAGTTTTACATCAATTTAAATGTATTTAGATGACTTACTTTTCAATTTCTTTCTTCGCTTTAGGACTAAGCAGGTCCATCTTCGTCATGATGTTTACTTGAGGGATTTCTAGTGACACCATGGCACTCAGGGCGGCCATGACTCCAGAAATAAACTGCAGTTGGAAGCAAATAAAAGATGAGTTTAAAGTGTAGTTGAAGGAGTTAGACGTAAATCAACAATGAAAATGTTACCTTAAAAGACTCCACCATGAACTGTGAGTCTACCAAAAAGACCCCGCAAACCCGAAACTCCCACTGCTGGAGCTGCTCCACCAGCTGCCTCATTACAGGGAGGTGTGTGTAAAGTTCAATCTGACCTGGTAAACAAATCACGTAAAAACAGCTATATGAGAGACATATTACTGACACTTTATCAAAGAGTAGATCAAACTCAACAACGTATCAGTATCAACAAAAAAATATTAAACTGATCAGATTCCAGCAGCACTGTAAACTGGCTGCAGGACACCTTTATCAGAATGTTTACCTGGACAGTCGAACAATATGTAGTCATCTTCCACATGACCCAGGCTTTCCTCCAGCCAGTCAAAGTTGTTGGCAAAGTACTCCATGCAGAAGACCAGGCCCCCATTAGGGCCAAATCTTAGGGAGTCGTCCTCCATCACATCGTCAACTTGAATGAGCTCACGGATGTCTGACAAAATACACAGAACAAAGTTAATTGTGGTGAACAAGTCATAGAACTAATGGTATACATAGACTACAACTTCCACTTGTGATTAATTACACCATAACAAAAGTTTGTGTGTATGGAAAGGAGCCACAGCCAAATACCTCCAACGAATAAGGCAAGTCCTGAGAAGCCAGCTCAATGGCAAGAACAAGATCCGTGCAATAAACAGCTATGTCTTACCAGTAATCAGATACCCTGCTGGAATAATTAGCTGGCCAATGGAAGAGATGAAGGCCACGGATGTTAAGACTCGGAAGCTACTAACCATGCATGGAGGGTTCCACCCCAAATCCAGCACCCTGAGACTGTACACAAGCCGTAAGGAAGGAGGCAGAGGACAAGTGAGTGTGAGAGCCACTGTCCAGGATGAAACATCCAAGATCCATAAATACATCAAGGACAAAGCCTCAACGGACGATGTGCTCAGCGAATGTCTCAGGCAATGGGGAACAGAAGACGAGGTGCTAGAGGTACCATCATGGGAGGACAAGCCCCTACATGGGATGTACCATCGACAAATAACTGAAGTGGCTGATATCAGGAAATCCTACCAATGGCTGGAAAAAGCTGGACTCAAGGACAGCACAGAGGCACTTATCCTAGCTGCACAGGAACAGGCCCTAAACACCAGAGCAATAGAGGCTCAGATCTACCACACCAGACAAGACCCAAGATGTAGGTTGTGCAAGGAGGCCCCTGAGACAGTCCAGCACATAACAGCAGGGTGCAAGATGCTGGCAGGGAAAGCATACATGGAACGACATAACCAAGTGGCGGGCATAGTGTACAGGAACATCTGTGCAGAATATGGACTGGAAGCCCCGAGATCGAAGTGGGGAACACCCCCAAAGGTGGTGGAGAATGACCGAGCTAAGATCCTGTGGGACTTCCAGATCCAGACAGACAAGATGGTAATGGCGAACCAACCGGACATTGTGGTGGTGGATAAAGAACAGAGGAAAGCCGTTGTGGTGGATGTCGCAATACCAAGTGACCACAACATCAGGAAAAAGGAGCATGAGAAACTGGAGAAATACCAGGGCCTCAGAGAGAAACTGGAAAAGACCTGGAAGGTGAAGACCACAGTGGTGCCTGTGGTCATCGGGGCCCTCGGGGCAGTCACCCCCAAACTGGAGCAGTGGCTAAAACAGATCCCAGGAACAACATCAGACATCTCAGTCCAGAAATGTGCAGTTCTAGGCACAGCTAAGATACTGCGCAGAACCCTCAAGCTCCCAGGCCTCTGGTAGAGGACCCGAGCTCAGAGGATGAAAGAGACCACCCGCGGAGGGTGAGAAGGGAATTTTTTTTATAGAAGCTTGGGAAAGAAGACAGCATGCTCTGTATCCTGGATGAGTTTCTGATTTTGTGGGGCTTGTGATATGAATGTAGCCATCCTGTTGTGTGTTCAATCATATACACTTGGAAAATCTGTTAAGCAATTTCAATTATTTTAAGTGGTTTGTGTTTTTGTTTATATAAGCTTTATTTTTTTATCCTGTTTAAAAGTAAAAAGTATACTCACCTGCCATCACAGGATAGTTAAAATGTTCAGCTGCTGGGTCCAAATTGACGACCTGAACTGAYCGGTTTAAAGTCTCTGCGTGCTGGACCATGGTGGAGCAGTAAGTACTCTGAAATGACAWGAAAGCCAAACATGGAAKAACATGAATAAATCGAGATGAGKCCCATCATGATGTCTCGTTAGCTGTTAGCCGCACATTAGCATCACAACTCGTACAACACACGTTACGTCACAATAGTTTACCTTTCCGCTACCCGCCGGGCCCATCACGAGTTGGGCATAACGAGGCATTTTACTTCATCTACAAATTGTTCAGGTTAATTTTAATAACTTCGTTCGTAACAAACAAACAAACGCATGTACTAAAACACTCTGTTCTGATTGGGTTACTTTCTTCTTCTTTGGTCATATATCTCGATGATGTTTTACTACTGCCACCTACCGATCAAAGTGGGAATTAACACATTAATTGCTAGTGTGAACTCATTGCTGAAAACTTTAGCTGAGTTGAAARATTATGGTCTGATATGTTTGACTGGTTATTTCCCAAAGTTCCCAGTCTCCAAATGTTCTCAGAAAGCAATATAATTTATGGACTTATTATGGACAATAACAACAGTGACTTTCTCATCAACACTATCATCATTCTGGGGAAATTTTTCATCCATAAAGCTAAATATCTTAAGGTTAAACCAAATTTTTATCATTTTCACAATGACTTTATTTTGTACTGCAATTCTCTTAAAGTGATGCACACTAAACATGCCCACAATCTGTGCTCTTTAATTGAAGAGTATGATTTAACATCTAAACGCTAGCCTTTTTTTGTTTTTGTTGTTCCTTCTTATTTTTAAACTTCTTATCTTTATTTGCACCCATCCTTTTCTCTTTTATGCAAGTTTGTTTGTTTGTTTGAAATACACCTTATTGTTTGTATTATTTTGTGTGTTCTTTGTTGTTTAATAAAAAAAAAACTTTAGCTGAGAGCGGCTGAAATGGAGCTGAAAATGTTTTATAGCAAAACTGTTAAAACCAGTTCCTTTTGAAAAGTTGAAAGAAGCACAAAAAATAGAAACCAACAGAAGGATAGAAGGAAGAAAATGTTGAAAACAGCTCCATTCATTTTCAATGAGAAAATGTGGGAGATAAAGT